GTAGCTTAAAGAAGCAGAGAAGTAGCTAAAAGTGGCAGAACGGTAGTGAATAGAGCAGAGCTGGAGCCAGTCTTAAAGAGAACGTCTTGATTATTTGCACGTGTTTCTGTTGGTAAAATGTTTGTTAATCAAGTTAAAAGTTATAGTAGCCGAAGTTCACAGCACCGTATCCTAAATAAGCCGAACGTTTTGATGGCTGAACGAATAATGATTTGAATGATCCGTTTACGTGAGTTACTTCAGAGCAGGTGTGTTTCAGGCAGAACCACCGTATGAAGAGGAGTACCCTCCTCTGCCGGCCTACCAGCCTCAGTCAGAACCAGAGGCCCAGGAGGTGTACATCATTCAGGTTAAAGGTCTCTCCTGGTCCTGCACGGAGATGGACCTCCTGAACTTCTTCTCAGGTGAAGATGGACACCAGAGGGCACGCCCGCGCTCGTCACACATGTAAACGAGTTTCTTTAAGTTCACTGTGCTTCTGCAGACTGCAAGATCCATGACGGGGAGATGGGAGTCCACCTGGTGCCGGACCAGCTGGGGAGGCCGTCGGGTCAAGCCTTCATCAAGCTGGAGCACGAGGAGGACGTGGTCAAAGCTCTGGGGAAGCACCGGCAGTACCTCGGCTCACGCTACGTTGAAGGTTAAGCTCTCTGATTGGGTTTGAGCTGGGTCACAGAGAACCTGCTGAGAACCATTTCCTGCTCCATCAGAGGAGTTTATATGAAAAAGAAACCCAGTTTAACTTCCAGTTTCTTTACCAAGTTTTCCACATGAAGCTTAAAAGAGAGATGTGAGTCAACCAAGATACACAAATATTTATAGGAATCTACAAACTCAATGGGGACACCATTTGAGGATAAAATCAGAGGAAGAACTGCTGGGACCAACTTCCTGTTTGAAAAAAGCATCCCTTTGGTTTTATCTGAGTTTAGGACAAGTTTGAGGTGAAACAAATCAGTCTGGATGATGTTGAATGCAGATTTCAAAAGCTGGAAAGCCTTAGCAACAGTTTTAGCTCGACAATAAACAACTGTGTCATCAGCATAGAAATGTATGGATGCATCAGGGATGCTCTGACCTACATTACCTGTAGATTATGAAGAGGGTGTGTCCTAAGACTGAGCCTTGTGGTACACCATTGTTGACTGTTAAATAACTGCAGGAAGTACCATTATGTTGAACACATTGCCTCCAATGGTGTGATCTGAGAAACCAGTTTCTGAGAGTTTATGACACAAGATGTTCTGATCCACAGAGTCAGAATCTTTAGACAGGTCTAAGAAAAGTGCAGCACAATAATCCTTAGCATCCAGTGCTTCAACAACATCATTAAGAACCTTCAGTGAAGCAGTGGTTGTGCTGTGTTGTTTCCTGAAACCAGATTGATGTGGAGGTAAGATGTTAAATGAGTCCAGGTCATTTTTGATTTGAGAGTTTATCAGTTTTTCTAGAACCTTGGCTAAAATACAGAGTTTAGAGATTGGTCCATAGTTGTTCAGTGAGGGGGGGTCTCCTCCCTTCAGCAAAGGAAGAACAAAGGCTGTTTCCAAGTGTCTGGATGGAGTTTTGTCTCATGGAGAGATTGAAGATGTGGGTCACAGGGACTGTGATGATATGAGCAGCCAGCCTTAAGAAATAAGGTGGAAGTTCATCTGGTCCTGCAGATTTTTTAGGATCAAGATCTTTTAACAGTTTATTGACCTCACTGACTGAGAATGGAGAAAAAGAGAAGGTGTGATTAACTGAGGATTGACTTGTAGGAGGGATTTGATTTGTAGAAGTTTGGTTATTAAGTGAAGTGGCTGATCTTCCATTAGTAACTGTGTCAAATAAAGAACCAGAAGCAACAAAATGTTTGTTGAAACAGTTCAGGATCTCGTGCTTATTTGACACAGGAACAGAGTTAATGAGAAGTTGTGATGGGAGGTCAGATGATTGGGGGGTGCCTGAGAGAGATTTGATGGTTTTCCAGAATCTGTTGGGGTCATTTAGATTTTTGGAGGTCTGAGATAAGAAGTTACATTTTGCAGCTTTGATGGAAGTTGTACATTTATTTATCATCTGTTGAAAACTCAACCAATCAGAGTCTGAGTCAGATTTTTCTCTAAAGACCAGAGATGGTCTCTCCTGTGCAGGAGGTCAGCTAGCTCTGGAGTAAACCAGGGGCTGTCTTGTCCCTTTATTCTGAACTGATGAAAAGGAGCATGTATGTTCAGGAAATAAATGAAACTATTATGGAAATAGTTCCAAGCAGAGTTCACGTCATCACGTATTATAATACGATGCCAGTCAAAGTGAGACAGATCCCAGAGGAATGACTGTTCACAAAAATCCAACAATTATCAGTCAGGTCATCTGGACAGTTTCTTTTTTTTTTTTGTGCTGAAACGTTTCACCTTCCATCCAGAAGGCTTCATCAGTCAAGGAAACATCAGTCAAAGAATCAGTTTTTTGTTGTGTGTTTCCTTGACTGATGAAGCCTTCTGGATGGAAGGTGAAACGTTTCAGCACAAAAAAAAAAACTGTCCAGATGACCAGACTGAAAATTATTGGATTGTATACCTGGATTATTGAGTGTGGACTTTGTTTGTTCATAAAAACATTTCAAATCCCTTTTTTGAATGAATCTAGGCTTAGGATGTGGAAGTTTAGTGTTTCTGAGAGCTGCTATTACACAATGATCACTTACTTAAAACATTAGCAAAAACACCTGTACCAGGGAATTTGTGAGGCATACTAGTTAGAAACAGGTCTAAGATGGAGGACTTTTCAGGACCGTTATTGTTCCGTCTGGTGGGAGAGTCATTGTGTTGGGTCAGATTGTAACAAGCAACATTCCTTGAATTTATCACAGAGGGGCGTGGACTTTTCTCAGATGAATTAAAATTTTTCGGCCAGTAAGATCTTGTTGAATTGAAGATTGGTTATGAAGTCTATCAGGGAGGACAGAGCCTCAGGTGTTGCGGAGGGGGGACGGTAACAGCCCACCCCAGATAAGGTCTGGCCTCCATTCAAAGTGATGTTTACAGCTAAGGCTCAAACTGGTTTGAGATTGTTTTGACTGACACAAGACTAGAATCCAGGGTATCTCTGATGTAAATAGCGACACCCCCCCCCCCCCCCCCCTTGACGATCACAGCGGTAGATGTTAAATCCATCGATTACCAGGTCGTTATTCAGTACAGATTTGTTGAGCCAGGATTCAGAAATGAAGATCACATCAGCCCAAGAAGAATGGACCAGAATTTTCAAAATATAAAGTTTTCTTAAAAAGACTACGTGTGTTTACATGGAGAAAATGAAGTCCTGACATGTTTTTAAAATCATTTGGTGTGCTGTAATGAGTGGGGGGGCGTCCAGAGTTGGGCTGAATCCCTGTGAGAAGTAACAACATTATTATCAGGCGTTGTCTTGTATTTTTTGTGACAGATGTGTAATTACAGGAGTTAATAGTGTGACAGCTCCCATAATCGAACCATGAGAAAAGTTAAAAAAGACATGATTACCCAGAACCCAGAAACAATGAAGATTGCAGGGAGAGGTAGATCCATTCAACCTTTATTTCTACAGGTAAATCCCATTGAGCCTCGAGGACTCATTTACAAGAGAGACCTGATTTAACAAAGAAAGATGACAACAATGGACAACAGCAACAACAATAAACAGTTATAAAAAAGCATACTACAGTTTTTTTTTGTTTGTTTTTTTTGTGTTAACAAGGTTCAGTGAGCCCAGATAATCAGAAGTTTGAAGATGATGGGGATTGTGGGACTGATGCAGAAACGTCTCAGACCAGACAGCTTCATAGATCAAATGGACCAATGGGTCCGACGTTGTGGTCCAACTGGAGTTTGAATTGTACTGAGGGCAGCACCCCTGTGAAGATGAAACTCTCAAGCTGCTCTCATGATGGACAGATGCTGGGTCCAGTACCAACAGGCAGAGGCTGATAATCCACGGCAAATAGCAAGGCATGGTCCTGACATGACGCCACATGTGGTGGAACGAAATTGTGTACACAGGGTGTCATTACATCCAACAAAAGTATAAAATGTAAAAGAAAAACTAATAAGATCTAAGTTATATTTTAAGATGAGTAATATACAGTTCTAGCTTTACGGAGAGCTTTTTTATATGTTAGCAGACTATCTTTCCAAGTTAAATAAAATTCTTCAACATTAGTAGAGCGCCATTTTCTCTCCTGGTTTCTAGATGCTGCTTTAAAGTACGTAACTCAGAATTGAACCAAGGAGCCAGTTTCCTCTGATTGATTACTTTCTTTTTCAGTGGAGCAATTTTATCAAGTGAAGTTTGCATTGAAGTTGTAAGATGATCAACTAGATGATCTAAGTCTCTGTTCTCTGATGCATTACTCTGCAAGACAGAGGAAACATTGATGGAAGAGATTGTTTCAATTTGGTTACAGCATTTTCTGATAAGCACCTGCTGAGATGAAATTTACTCTCAGTGACTGTGTAGTCATTTAATGTAAACTCAAAGTTATTAAAAAATGGTTGGACAGAACAGGATTTTGAGGAACTATTACCAAGTCCTTAATCTCTATACCATAGGTCAGAACTAAATCAAGAGTGTGATGATAAGAATGAGTAGATGTGCAGACGTTTTGGGTAAAATCAAATGAGTCTATTAAATTATTAAAGGCTATGATTAAACTATCACTCTCAACATCCACATGAATATTGAAATCACCCATTATGATGATTTTATCAGTATTTAATAGTAAGTCAGTTAATAATTCTGAGAATTCAGACAAAAACTGAGAGTAAGCTCCTGGTGGACGATATATAACAACTAGTAAAAGTGGCTTTTCTGATTTACATTTTGGATGAGAAAGACTGAGGGACAGTGATTCAAAAGAATCATAACTAATAACTGGTTTGGCATTAATCAATAATCCTGACTGAAACATAGAAGCTGCTCCTCCACCTCGGCCAGTTGTTCTAGGAACATGAACATTTAAATAATTAACAGGAGTGGATTCATTTATACCAACAAAATCCTCCTGTTGTAGCCAAGTTTCTGTCAGACACAATCAATCAATATGATGATCAGTTATCAGTTCATTAACTAACAGGTCCAGATGTTTCTGTCGTTTTCAGTGTACGAAGTGACGAACAGTGAAGCTGAAACCATCCTGCTGAAAGCAGCTGACACTGGAGGACACGACGGCGTGGTTCTGCTCAGAGGACTACCCTTCTCCTGCAGAGAGGACGACATCCAGCACTTCTTTTCAGGTCGTTCATCCAACTCTGGGGCCGCCTCCCCAGTGACGGAGCTTTATTTTGGAGCCTTTTCCTGTCGTTGCATACTTGCCGTTACTGGACCAGAGTTCTTTCTATGACTAAGATCCTTCAGTTGGGTCTGTTCGTGCGTCCGCAGATTATTTCTGCTCCATGCTGACGGTGGGGGGTTGCTTTGTTGTTTCAGGTCTGGATATCAAGGAGAACGGGATCACCTTCGTCACCAACTCCAGAGGGAGGAACTCTGGAGAGGCCTATGTTCAGTTTTCCTCCCAGGAAGAAGCAGAGAAGGCTCTGCAGAAACACCGGGAGTTCATCGGAACCAGGTAGGAGGCTGCTGGAGGTCCGGCTGCTCTCAGAGCACCTAAACTCAAACTGAAGCACGAAGCTGATCAAATGGAGCAGAAGTGAGGGTTCCCTGCAGTCTGAAGGATAAAATAAAGACTTCTTCACGTCTTTAATCCAACAATTGTTCCTCCACATTGCACAAGAGCATGAAGTTTGTTCCTCAGGTCCTTTTAGCGCAACACGTGACCTGTAGGATTAAAAAGCACTTACAACAAAATATCCTGATGCTGCTCAATAATCCATGTAGAAACTTCTAACAAAGTTAAGTCAGGTTCTCTTGATGGATTAAAAAATAAAAATAAAAAACAATAAAAAAATATAGAAACGTTTACATTTTTTGTTGTTTTGCTTTGTTTTGTTTTTTTGAATGTCCAGAGGACCAGATTTAACTTTTTTACATTTTTCTACCTGGATTCTTGAGCATGCATCAGGAAATAAAGGATTTACTTATGTAGGTAAACATAATGTTTTAAAACCTGTTAAAATACCTGTTTTTTTTTTTAAACTATATACCATACCAAATACACCAGAATGTAGGAAATAGCAGCTACTTTATTTAAAAAGTTATGGGGGAGGACTCACAGACCTCACACCAATATGTCCCCCCCACAATAATTAATACCCACTGTGTGGTTCAAGCCAAGAGCCATTGTCAACACTGGGGGGCTAAGGCCCCTAAAAAGGGCTTCTAGAATCGCCCCTGGTGTGAAGAAATGAACTGAGAAAAATCAACTCTTGCCTTAAAATTTAACACAACAACATAATAAACATTTTATTATAACATAAAACCATTATTATAATATATATGTAACCAGCCTTTCATATAAAAACTGGGATATTTTTACCGGAGAATGCGTGCACTTTAACCAGGAAGAGTTCGGTTGTTTTTTACATTACACACAGCAACAGGTACTGAAGATTTTAACCTAAACCCACATAACAAGCAGAGCATCATTTTTAAATGAAAAGGGACCAGGAGGAGGAAAATGTGCTGTTTGAGTTCATTTACTGACGGTAAACAGAGTCCGACTCCTCGCAGCTGAGACTAAAGTTTAAATCAGCACAGCACCAACACAACTCATGAAGTTCAGGTTATTTGACACTTTCCTGCCCGTTCTGTGACTTTAATACATAAATTAGTTTTAAACTATTTCCAGCCACGTTGCTCCTCCCTCCCTCTCGGTGAAAAGCAGAGGCTGGAACAGTTGACTTGTGGGCAACGTAGTTCTTTTGACTTGTGTTAAAGTGAAGGCTTATTGAAAGAAAACTACAAAACAACTGTGCCTGCCCCCCCCCCCCCCTTTTCTTTTTTGCTTATTGGTCGGTTCCTGCTCCTGTCTGCTCCCGTTAACTTTCAGTTTTTGTGCCTCTTTTATGATTGTCCACTGTTGTCATCGTTCTTTGTTAAATTCAGGTCTGTCTTGTAAAAGAGTCCCCGAGGCTCAATGAGACTAACCTGTAGAAATAAAGGTTGAATGGACGTCCTGGATGGACAGCAGAGGTAGACACCTGGAGACATGTCCAGCCGCGTGCATGTCTTCAGGGCAGTCGGCTCGCCTGACCAGATCCGTAGCAAAATTATGGTTTGGAAGAGGCTCAGAAGCCGTTTCACAGACAGGACGGAGCAGCAGCGCAAAGTGGAGGAGGGGAAAGGCATTCGCCCTCCACAAGAGCCAGTGGTGAAGGGATGTTGACGTATTGTTTAGTTGCGGTGCTTCCTGCCGTGTCTGCAGGTACATCGAGGTGTTTCCCAGCAGCAGAGACTCGATCCGGTCCACTAGCAGAGAGAAAGAGTGGAGTTCAGCTCCTCAGCAGATGTACAGGAGAGAAGGTTCTGACTTTCAGCCCAACTCCAAACGTGGTGAGAAGAGTTTTACACTTCATTTTAAAATAGTCCGTTTATGAATCAGAACCTTCAGCTCTTTGTTTTTAATGATTGGAAACTAAATCCCCAGTAAACTACTGAGTCTTTATTCTTGTAACTGTAGATTAATTTATGCTATCTTCAGATAAAAAAGTTTGTTTTTTTAATTGGATTTGTTGTTTTTTGTAATCTCGACCCGTTTCGTTGCTTCGGTCTCAAAATGTTCTGGTCTGTGTTTTCTGCAGCGCCGGTTTTCCCACAGAGCTCAAACGCCTCGAATCACTTCGTCCACATGAGAGGACTTCCCTTCCGGGTGTCCGTGGAAGAGATCGTGATGGTAAGATCTACAACCTGCTGGTTGCTCACGGTTCTGACCCATTTCTAAACTGCTTCCATGCTAACGAGTGGCTGAGAGACTCGGTGAACGTCACCACAGTACATCACAAGAAGTTATTTTTGGGTTCACGACAGAGTTTGTTAAAGTCAAAATTAAAATCTCTTTGTTAATCCAGGTGTCTCTTGTAGACGAGTCCCCGACGCTCCATGACACTCACCTGTACAAATAAAGGTTGAATGAAAAAAGTTGTATTTGGGCCTAAAAAAATCCAGCCCGGCCCGGCCCGGCCCGGCCCGTAGGCATTTTGTCTGAGCCTGACCATTTAACTGTAGTTACAGGCCCGAACCCGAAAAAATAAATAAGTTACGAAGCTTTGACTGCGTTTGTGAGGAAATCAGTTTGACACGATATTTAAAAAATGTATTTCAAAGAAAGGAAGATCAGATTTCTTGTTTCACCAAATGCACATTAACAAAACCAATATCCTGAAAAATCATCTCTAAAGATCGGCTGTTACACACGAACAAAAATATTTTACAGCTAAATTATTTTGAAAAATATAGAACAAGGTCATTCAAACTGAAGGCGCTGCTTCGGCTGTTGTAGCTGCTGCTACTTCACCGCAGGTGACGGCAGGTGCAGAGACGCGCACGGCCGATGATCCCGTTGTCCATCTGAAGCTTAAGACTTGTTTTACTTTCAACCCGGTCGGACCTGAACGTGCACCTGACACACATCAGCAGGTTTCACTGAGCACACGGTGCAGAGCAAGTGCTCCTGCTTTTAGCTTTTCTTTACGTTCCAGCTCCGTTACGTCTCTTGTTGTGGCTCAGATCCTCAGGTAAGAGCAGGGCGGGTGGGGCCACATGCACGGTTGTTGTGCAACGTGTCAGCTACTCTTCACAGTCAGAAGAACTGCTGCACTCCACTTTATTTCTTTCCTCAACGTATAAACTTACTGCTCCTCAACAAGTAAATTAACCATTTTATATTGTGCATTCTTACTTAGTTTTCTTTGTGCTCTATATTTGTTGAACCGCATCAAAAACCCGAACCCGGCCCGCCCCGCCCATCCAGCACATAATTTTGGCCCGACCCGGCCAAATTTTGGGGCGGCTTGGGCCAAAAATGGGATCTAGTTCATAAGAAACCATGAGGTGTAATCTGATTACTCTGGTTCTTCAGCTCAATAAAAACTTTGATGGGGTTTAACACGGCCCCCTCTAATGATCCGGTTCTTCTCTTGCAGTTCTTCGCTCCGCTAGTCGTGTCTAAAGTCGTGACTGAATGTGGTCCCAACGGGAGGCCGAAAGGAGAGGCAGACGTTTACTTCAGCAACCACAGAGACGCCATCAAAGCCATGTCCCGGGACCGGATGTACATAGGTAGGACCAGTCAGGACCGGCTGAACGTAGGTAGGACCAGTCAG